GTACCGTTGAAAAGCACGAGGCCGTACGGTGTTTCTCATCGGTTTATTCGGAGAGGCCGTAGAAAGAAAATAAGAACGCACTCGAGATAGTTAAATGGCAATGGGACAAGGAGGAGGAGAAGCGAGTTCCGGGTTGACAGTCATTGGACGAGGACGAGAATCGCGGGAAACGGCGAGAGATCGACGTAGAGCTGGAATTAAACAAATAATCTTCGTCGAGCGGGGAATCCGTTAAGGCACGAAAGTACGGTCGGTAAAAGGAACCTATTGAATTCTAAATTTAAACGAATGTCCAAGTGTCAGCGAGCTGACGGGCAAAATAAACAAGATGCCGCGAGGAAAAGGAGTAAGGAGAACGCTCGCGGGGAGAATGAACGGGAATGGGAGAGGATTTCACGGGAGATGTAATATCTCGGTCCACTTTTTTCTTCATTTTTATCCTCCGTTCTCCATCTCGATATTAATTTCGCGAACGGATCAAATTGTAAATTTCGTTTTCAATTTTAGTTCGGTTCTTCGTAACTCTGAAAAATTTGTCGGACTTTGTTGCTCTTTTAAATTTTACGATGTACGGAAATTCCATGATATTAATCTTTCACGATGCTTCAGAGACGGTAATCCGCGATGATTTCGCAAAAAAACAAAAAAAAACGTTCGCTCTCATGGATAATAATAGCTCGACGACTTAACTTGATTACCGTTCTATGCTTTTCTGCTTGTCGAGGCCTCCGTGTTAAAGTTCATTGATACGTCAATTTATAACCGCGGAGAAAAATTCTGAATCTTTGCAAATAATCGACTCATGACGCGGCAAGCTCGTCAACGATTTCAATCGCGGTGATCGATGAGGAAAAAAAAAAGGAAAAAGAAATAGGCAAAATTCGAGAGTTACGTAGGGAATCGTCGCAGAGATACGCGCTACTGCAAAGACTGTACCGTGTCCAACGTCGATAAAACTTTGCCATTCCTCTCCTTCATCGCCGCTCTCTGACTCAGAACTTAATTGGAGAACAAAAAACTCGAGGAGATCCAATTGACCCGGAAGCGGACGTCAACGCGGCGCGAGCGACGATCGTACAAACAGCAGCAGCAGCAAAAAGCTCTCTGAGGAAATTGAATTAAATGAGAAAATTCAAGATGGGGAATCGCTCGTTTTCTCTTATGCAAATAACGTCGATATTCCGCTCTCGCGCGAAACGCTAATCTAACACAGGCTATCGCGAAAAAGTCTCAATCGAGGAAAATATGTGCATGAAGTACGTCCGAGAAGAATAAAGCGTACGAGAAAAAAAACGAGAGAGGAAAAAAAACGAGAAGGACGCGATCGACGAGCAAAGTATCAACGGATATGACGATCGTGATGAAAAACGAGGCACTTTCGAGGATCGATAGAGAAAACCGTGGCTTGTTCGCGCGAAGAGGGAAAGACAAAGAGGAGGAAGGACGTGAGCGCATATAGGGCCCCGCGGGGTTCCAGGGGGAAAAGAGGGGGGCCTCCTCATCGTCGTGGCAGCACGTGTGTAGCAGAAGCGAGAACCCGGGGCCCCAGTTCGGTCCGTGCCTCGTAAAGCCTTTCATAAAAGCTTTCATAAAACGTTTCACGATCTCTTGGTACCGAGGGAATCCAGCGCCGATCAACGTCTCGCAAGATCCGTCCGTCTTTCTCCTCTTCTTCTCCGTCCTACGCGGCAAGGGATATTTTCTCGTCTCGAGTGCGAGACATATATTTCACGTGTTCTCGTGAAAATCTGAATAAACATGGGAAATCGCAGCTTAAAAGGTCGTAGAGTAGAAGCTGTTTTTCTCTTAAGAGTGGAAGCTATTTGGGAAATGGCAATGATGGCCCATCTTGAATTCTTATCCAGTTTTTCATTCGCGTAAGACTCATCGAAAGACATCACGAATTCAGCGGCTGAATACCTGAAGTCTTTCAACGTCTCTCATCAAGCATGGAGCTGCTGGGCTTCTTTGTCCCCGCTCAAGGAGGAAGCTCCGATTTCGATCTCGCGACGATTCGTTTTCGGAACCATCGTACCCCAACTCATACGTGCCCGAGCGAGATAAAAGCTCGTAACCAGACTGATCTGAACTCTTTCCCCTTTCTCCCTTCCGTTGGTTTTCCCCCGCTCTTCCTCAATATCACCGATTCCCCGTTTCTTTCCTCTCGCTACCAGCGCGTCTCGAATTAAACCCGACCAGCAGATACGACAGATTCGTTGAATAGCGGTCGAGTTGGCTGGCTTTTTGAATTCAGTTTCTTAACGAAGGGTTCGCAGCGGCCGTTCCTTCCGAGGAGAAGCCTCGCTTTTTGAAACGACAACTTTTTGTTCAAAGGGCTTTTCAAAGAGACACACGCGCGCGTATCTGTCACCGAGGTTTGCAGCGCGTGACGATGAAGATCCAAAAACAACTAAATGGAAGGAAGTTTCGGGTTCTAATAATTCTTGTCTCCTTTCGACCAGACACGTGTGTATCTCCTCGAGTAGATAATCATCCGGTACAATATCCATTACTTTTAAAGCCTCGCTAAATTGAACGACGATCTATATACATACATACATATATATATATAAATATAAAGAGAAAAAAAGATATCTCCGTCGATCGTTGGCTCGAGCCGATTTCGAAGACGGAGCGGATTTTCTCGCCCGACGGGTGGCATTCGACGATCATTCTTCCGAGGCGATGCCGCGGACGGATATCGTTAAAAAACGCAATCGAGCCGGGAGAATCGCGTTATCAGTTAATGAATCTGGCCCGGTGCGACCGGTGCCCGGGGGCCCACGAGAGGGGGCCTGTCTCTCGAAAGTCTCCGCGGGCTCCCCCTGACAATGGGCCAGGCGTCCGACGAATTTCGAAAAGGACAAAAATAAAAAATGATCCCGCGCGCTCCTCTCGCGCAGAGAAGGAAGCTGCTCTTCTCTCGGGAGAAAGAGGAAAGATCGCGTCTCCTTTCTATCCGTTCCTTCTGCTGCGTGCCTGCCCGCTGTCCGTCCGACTGTCCGTCTTCTCTTTTCATCCTTGCTGCCTTTTATCCGGGCGGAATGATTAATGGGTTCACGGAGGCACCGCGGTATCTTCCCTCTCTCCTCCTCGAGATCCCTCATCAGACCTCCCCTCCCTCCAAAGTCGCCGTCTCTCTTTCGTCCGCGCGCATAGACGAGACTTTTCTGCTTTTCTTCGCGCCCGGATTATCACCTCTCCCTGCCCCCCCCTCGCGCAGCGATTGTACGACACTGGGATACATCTTTTCTATGCCTTCGATGCTCTCGCTTTAATATCGCGGCGCCGTGAAATGGAGCGAGTTGGACGGAATGTCCAACGCGATTGATCCGACAGTCGCTCCTAACAAATGTTTAAAAGCGGAGACTATATAGGTCACGAGCATATAAATTGACTTTTAGCCGATTCCAGATGTTAGATATACCAATAAGGGATACACGTAATAACTCTCTCCGAGATCAACGCGAAACGATAATGTATCCTTAGTGGAAGAGACAAATATGTAAGATATTTATTCGAGGCGAGGTGAACCTCGGAGGCGAGTGACTCTCGTTTAAGAAGTGCCGTCTTTCCATTTTTTGTCGTCGTCGTTTCTAACCGTGTCATTGTCAAGACGCGTTACCGCTTCAAGCTCTTTTACATGATAAATTACGCGTGATTTTTTTTTTGTATCAATCGCAACGATCACGTCGTGCCGCAACAAGTCGGCTTTTGTTTCTCGTCACCTGCACGTAGGTGGCGACCAGTTGAGGGAGACGCAAAGCGCTTGCGGTGAGAAGCAAAGCGGATGACAAGGAGCGGGGGACACTCTTCGCTTCGATCCTTGTCATATTATATTTTAACCAGATATTATATCGCATAGTCTTGTAATAGCACAATACATCACCTGTCATATTTTAATTAGATATATCGCATTTTTATAACACTGCAACATGCCATTCGAAATAATAGTTTGCGTGTATCGTTTCGTTGCTGGAAAAATCGTCAAAATCATGCAAGATTAAAATTATTCAAATTGAACAAATTAATCTGCAAAATTCTGAGATACGTTTGAAGAATCGTATTCGACATTTTGTAAATAAATCGCGCGAGTCAAAGCGACTCGAGAATTCCTGACCGCAGGGAATTCTCGAGAGCGTCAACCCACGCTGATCCGCCGCGTGCAACGGGAAACGATGACGCTGGCTGATCTCGAAGGCATCCATCGATCGCGGGTCGCTTAGCTCGCGCAGTCCGGGACCGACCGACTTTATGAGTTATAAGTCGGCCATCTTGCTCGAGCCATCGCATATTCACGTGCGCGCATATGCGATGCACCGGCAATATGTAAGTGCTACATTCTGTTCTGGTGCACGTACAGTCCCGGCTGAAAGCGGCCGGCGAGAACACGAGCCCCCTCATCCACGACGTGCACGACGTATCGCGAAAAGTGCATTCGTTTATCGCGATGCCGGCTGACGTAACCGCTGCTGCTCGGCAGAGCTTCTAATTCATATTGCATCCAATCGCGCGGCTGCTGACTCTCGACGAGTCGTCGGAGAACGGAATGCTCGCTGATGTTAATTCATCCGGTGCGATTTTGCGGAAAGCGACGCACGTGCGATCAAGTCGAAATTTCGTCGATCGATAATTCTCGAGCTAGAAACGAGATACGGGATTGATCTCCGGCCAAGCCGGATCGCGAATGTCAACCAGTCGCGTAGCCAACGATCAATCTTGCGCCAACCTCGCGTACAATGCCAACCAATCCGCGTATTCCAATTTGTCTAACGACTTGTCGAGTGACAATGCGGGCGGCTACAATTGTCATATTCGACGAAATGGCTTGAACGGCTCTATTCGGAATCGCGACTTTAGTTGTTTCGACGGTTCTTGAAATAATCATTCAAAAATATTCAATTCCAAAAACTAATCAACTTTTGACTTTATATCGAAATTTTACGAATTATATCAATTTGGTCTAAATCGATAATCGATGAATTTTCGAGTCCACTTACCTTGAGTCTGCTGACCAACACTCGGGTTGAGAAACGTGGGCGGCAGTTGCCTGCTGACCGACTTTGCCAATTCGCCTCCTGCCAGCCCATAGATCGCCAAAAGTTCCTGCATCGTCGACTCCGCGTACTCTCTCATGCCTTCGAAGGGTTTCCGCTCTTCGATCTCGGCCTCGCCGTCGGCCTCGTTGCCCCGCTCATCTTCAAACTGCGTGTCCTGATCGTCCAGACGAGACGACTCTGCGTCCAAGACGCCGCTCCCACTTCTCTCCGACGAATCGGAATTTGGACTCCTCGCCTGAAAATTGCAGATATATATTTACAAGACAGCAAATATTTAGATAATTCCCGGAAGCTAAGGATTAATGAATGGAACACTTACTTCTGTACCAGGCGAGTACAACTTCCGCGATCTCAGTTGCTCAAGGATGAACTTGTGCCTGAGAGAGTCCGCGCTATCGTCATCGGCCTCGGAGGACGGCGGTCTCGTGGCGACCGAGAGATCCATCGGGCTGACCTCGTTATTGTTTAGCCTCTGCTTCGATCTATCCTCGGCCGGCAGCAGCATCGTCTTCCTCTCGTACTCGAGGATTTCGCTGGAACTCTCCTCGACGACCTCCGGCTCGTCATCGTCCTTGTCGGACTCGTCCGATACCTCCGCCATCCGGCTGCTTATGGGCTTGAAGTTCTTCCGTTTGTTTCGCGGTTTACTCTGGATGCTGCTAGTGATCTGCAACTGGGCCTGCGCCTCGTACTGGGAGTCGCTGTCCTGATCGGCGGCACCCCGTCGGGTCGTCGCGTAGTTGTAGACCGAATCAGAAAGCATCTCCGCTGATGAAGAAACGAAATTTATTCCATCTCATTAGGCGCTAATCTTATCGATTTATTAATGACACGTGCGCAAGACGAGCTGCTTTGTCTCATTTTTTTGCCATCCCGGACCTGCAGCTTCTCAAACGAGTCAGAATGAGAATAGAAACGATTTGGACGAGCAATGCCTCGGTATTTTGCATCGCAAAGATGAGACGACGATAGTCACTAATTCCATACCGCGGCGTTTCAAAGCGCGATGGCGTGTTTCTCATATCACAGTTAATAGATATCAATTTTTAGCATCAATTATAATCCCGCGAACTCAAACGCTAAGCGTACGTTCTAGGTACGACCGTGGCTTATATACGCGCCATATAGTTTTGTAAAATTAACGGCGCGATTCTTCGCGCAATTGTGGAGACAGACGTTTATTTATTCCATAGATGAATCAGAGATGTTTGCAAGTTTCTGCAATCCCTCAACTATTATTAATATGTTACTAACCCACGCAGCATGCATGTCTAAGAGACGTTCAGAGGACATTCTGAGGACATTCTTCGTCCGAAAAATTCTTTGGAATACGCTCTGGACGTCTTTCGGATATGAATCTCACGTGGGAAGAATTCTGACATTTTAATGATTTTGGGAGAGCCGAGTATTAACCCATTCAGACCCTATGTACACAATTATGCACAAGAACTTTAAAATCATGTGTAATAGTTATTAATATATATATAGTTAAAAAAATATATATATACATATCTCGAAAAAAAAAATATATATATATCTCGTAGTTTTAAACCCTTAGCATCAATAAAAATTAATTCAATAATTTTTTACATTACAGAAAAAATTCATTCTGAATGGGTTAAGGATGATACAAATGAACTTGTTGAATTTCGTACGGAATAAATCTTTTAATATTTGACGAATCGAGGAGCATCTTACCGGGGCCATACGGGCTGGTTACGGCGGACATCTCGAACCTCGCGAACCAGCCGGTTGTTCACCGCATCCTGAAACAAAACACGCATGTTAGTCGATCAGGCTTCAAACGCGAGTTGAAACGAAACGATCTGCCAATTCGCTTCCCACGTGTTCCGCTGACACGCGAGAATCACACACTTACGAGGAGCGGCACTGTCCTCCGACACACGTTCACCGGGAATCCAATGAGAAATAACGCAGCGCCAAGTGGAGAAGGAGTCACAATCGCCGTAAGAGTCAATCTCGATTCGTTCACGCGGGATATCGGATTCGCAATACGATCGACCTATTCTATTCGAATAAAGTCCGCGACGTTTATTCCCCGACAACGTACGCTCGCCGGCGATGTTTGCGGGTCTGTTAAGACTGGAGGAGGGAGGCCGGTCGTTGTAAGAGAATCGCGAAAACGAGGCGAAAACAAAGGCACGTCGCCGTAACAAAAGCTACGGTGATATACGAGCGCCCTGGTAGCCGCTAGTCCGACCAGCCTGGCGCGATAACGCGCGAGCGCACGACAATTCGTTTCTCGGTTATTGGAATGCAGACCTTTAAGCCCATTACACGCCGTCGCGGCGGCAGCAATGGCAGGAAGGTGAAAGAGAGCGGACGCGCGCGCGACGCGGGAGAAGATCCGAGGAAGAAAAGAGAGGAGAGAGAACAGCCGGCGAGACGAGGAGGGGAAAAAATCCGAAATGAGAAAGCAACAATAAAAGGACGCGCGACATGATAAGCATTAACGTCCGGCCAATCGAAAGGGTTTATCTCGACGGGGTTATACCCGCACTAACTGTCATTTCATGGCTCTCTCGGGTTCGGTTCTCCCGCAATGAGAAACGGCGGAATGGAATTTCAATCCGTTGGAAAATGACTTCCTCGCCGCTTCTGCCGCCCGCTCGTTCGTCTTCATCGTCATCGTCTTCGTCGCAACGATCGCCTACGAGTCGCGCCGATTCGCATGGCCGTTTGCCTTTCACGGCGTGCGGGGGATTTCATTCGATCCCGGACCGTATCCTTCGGGAATGCGTCGCGATGAGCGACCGATGGGTAGCCCTTCGTCGTAACGCACGCTCTCTTATTAATGTCGCGCTTCATTGTTGTCGCTTTACGCGAGAAACGACCCTCCTTTCCTCCCCCTCTGCTCGACGATGAAATTTCTCTCGTGAACCGAAATCGCTGAAGCGCGCATGACGATATTCGCCTGTCATGTGGTGCCGAGATCCAACGATAATTACCAATCACGACGGGTTAATGAGAGCCGAATCGCAAATAATTAACAGTAAAATCAAGGAGTCATGCCGGGGTTCTCGAATCGGTGACACGCGCCGATAATTTCAACCTGTCGCGCCGATCGCGGTTGATGTACGAGGGCTTTCTACTGCCTCCTCGATCAAGCGCAAATTGTATTGCGCATTGACAGGCCGCGCCATTCAGACCAACCGGTCCTCGAAAGATCAACTCGCTACCCTCGCGGTTTCTGAGTCGGCCAATGTCAATAGAGAAGTCGCTGTCATCCCGATACACGTACATGTGTCCTCCTTGGCAAAATTGAGTCTTGAATTCTGAGAGCTCAATCTACTTTAGGGGATCAAAAATTCATCTTTTTTTATGTATTTTCTGAAAATATCGTGCCTGAGAAATATGTCTTTCAAATTTTATTGAAACATTCACAGCAATGACAAAGTTTTCAAAGTTGATGTGATCTTCATCAAATTAATGAATCAAATAACTTCAATCTTTTTTAACAAAAGGAAAATATTTGTGAGAGATACTGAATTTAATTAGAATTTTAAATATTAGTAATCAATATTTTCTTTATGAAATGAATAAATTCCCATAAGAAATATATGTAATTTTAAAAAAGCATTACTTTATTATCTTCCAATTTTCTGCAAAATTAGGTTCAGCATCCATAAATATTATTTCTAATATAATAAACTAAATCGAATTTATTCATTTCAGTCAATAAAACGAGGAGTAACCCGTCACACTAAAAGAAGCAACATTAAAAAATACTGATACGTATTATTTAAACGCCACTTTCATAGAATAGACTCTGAACAAATCTCAATCGTGATACAAGCACGTGTGATTTTCCTTGCTTTGCAAAATCTCTGCACAATTCGAACAAAAGTACACGCGATTATATCATTTTATTCCATCCTTTCTTTACCCTACAATCATTGTTTCTGGATTCACCCTGGTACAACTGGTCGCGAGGAAGATTCTTTAGGGGAGGGGGATGAAGACAGCGCGCAATAAAATTCCACCTAAACGTACTCTCGCTCATTGTTATTTCTGCCTCGGATCTACAGATTTCAGCCGAAAGATCTGTGCGAATAATCAGCAGTAGGGTCGGTCGAAGTCGAGCGCGCCCTCCGATTGGCGCGAGCGCGCTAGGCGTAGCCGCGAGAATATATCCCCGCGACGACGAGCACGGGGGGGGTGCACGGCGTACACGATCGGGACGCGATATGTCCGAGCGGCCGAGCGCGAGCTCCTTTTTTCGCCGGCTATACAGAAGGGATAATTAACATCTGTTACAGAGTACCTATAGCGCGCGGGCCGCCCCGTTTCACCCCACCACGTGGATCACGGGGCGGACCTTGAATACATTATCACCCTCTCGTGTACGTACACACGTTGCACACAGACACACGCAACACACGCGCACAAACACGTGTATCGTCGAATCGCAGGGCGTGCGGGAGATCGACCGTGAACGAAAATCTTTATCTCCACCGTCTCCTTGTCGGGGATCTGACCGTCTCTCGTCGTCTGAGGATCGAATTTTGCGCCAACGGGCCACCCCTTCTTGGTCCAATGATCGATACGCGAACGAAAAATTTATAAATGAGGTAAAATAAAAATTTCAACCCCTAAAAAGGATTCATTTATGACGTATCGCATATTGCGTTGCCTCTCCGTTTCGGAAGAGACATTTACAATTTTTAAAATTCTCGAATGCTGATCTAGATATATAAGGGGTTGATATTTCAGGTTTAAAGTTATTATGTCAAAATAAAAAACTGAAAGCTACTCTTGGAAATTAAAATACTACTCTTGTCTCTTATTTGCAATGTTTAACGAGCAAACTGGAATGGAAAACTGGATGCTGTGAGAACGGTAGCAGATAGGGCATATTAAATCGCCAATTTATAGAAACGGCTCTCGACAAATTGCTCGACGAGTTCTCGTCTTTGACGATCGATATTATTGACAAGTCTTGTTTCGTGTAATTGCAAAAATACTTACAAATCGTTACTAGTTTTACTAATGAAAACACGTCACGCATCGGTGCTCGTGAATCTAAACCAATGATCGACTCGCGGAAAAAGAAACTGTAAAATGTCGGTACATCTCGTAAGTAATTAAGACGCGCGTAATTTCTGCGGTCCCATAATACGGATGCGGTTTAGACATAATTTGTATTTTTCTCTCGAGATGCGCCTCTGTTATGCGCGTATTTTACAAGCGAATAATCAAAATAAAATGATAAAAATGAAGATAAAGCTGAAAGATTTGAATAAAGTACATTAGTCGCGCGGTTTCTCGGTGCAATTACGATTTAACACTTCCGGATATTCATCGCGCGTACATGCTTGGAGGAACGCAAACTTGGAAAGATCGATCGCGCACAGTTACAGTATATTAACTCACGCGAAGGAGACAGCATCGAGAACGGGACGAGAGTCGGGGACGGGTCGGGTCGGGACGGGATGAAACTGTACGAGACAGCGGGCTGGTCCGTGAGAGCGGGCTACCACTCGACATAGCTCGACGCTGATGCCGATGCCAGAAAGAGAGGAAACAAAAAAGTCGGCGTTACTTCGTAACGCGTTCGTTCGTCAAACACTCGAACGTAACGTTGCCAGACCCGGCGAGCTGGAGGAGCCCCGCGGCTCTTGGAGTGCCTGCTGCGGAATACCAGGAGATTATTCAAATTCGCCACCGACGGCTTAAAATGTACATTAATCGCCCTATCGTGCTGGGACGATGGGCCGGAAACCGACACGTCGTCGAATAACCGACTTATATCGAAATGTATGCGTTGGATGGACGAGCGTTGGATCCGAAAATGGTCTCGATTCGTGTTTGTCGAACGGTAACTTTATAGGAGTAGCGTTATTAAACTACTTACTGTTACGAAGCATAATTTAACAATGAATATTAGATAAATAAATCGTCGAGGTATTCGACTTTGCGTTATTCGAAAGAAAAAAAATATTTGATTATTTAAATCTTCTGATCTTTTAAAATCCAGCTTGTCAATGTATAGACAACTCGGCTATTATTCAAGGGCTTGAAATTGTTGCTCAGCCAAAGTCGACGTGTCGCGGAGCGTCTCGAGAGCATCGGTGACTAAGATAAAACGCAGGCTCTTCTTCTCTCGCGCAGCTTGTATCTCTCTTTTTAAACGCTTTTCCGTTTTGTATTAGGATTACCGGACGACTGGCTTCTGCGCTCTCCTTCGCGCGTTCGGCTCTGCCGCTCTCTACCTTGCTCTCGGATCGAGAGGCCGAGGAAGGAAGTATAAGGAGAACGGGCTAGAGAGAAGGCGAGTGTGTTCATAAGATATGGTGTGAAACACGAGAGGAGCGAGATTAAAGAATGAAAAACATAGAATTCTGAGAACTGGTTCAAGTCATAATATTCGTAATTTCAAGCCGCGCCTTGTGGCGACCGCGTCTTCTGCGTGTCGTTTGAAATTAATGCGAGCGGAAATAAAATTCCTGCCCCCCTCCCCCCCCCGCCTATACCCCATACCCCGACGTCGCGCCCTTCGTTCTAGCTCTCGGCTCTCGGCCTCGTCGAGCCTCCGCGAGACCAACGAGACAAGTGGATGGCGTTTAATGGTCGAGCATCGTGTAAATAAATTCGGCCCTCGTCGCGCCGGACGGAAGGATGTTTGCTTCTAATATTTGGACTTCGCGCCGCGTCGAAAGAATCGGACGACGAGAGAGTCTCGGGGCTCCGAGTTTCGCGTTTCGACGTGTTTGGCTTGCGCGCATCCGAGGATCGCCATCGCGGA